TTTGGTGTTCTTATTTTGCTGCACTGAATGGTGCAATGATAATTACAGTAAGGCATTTAACTCAATTCACTTGTGTTTTCAGCATAATAAATTATTGGAATGGAACATTTGCATTTTTGGTGGGATGAGTATGTAACTTTGGTCTTCTGCATGCAATAATTTTGCAACTGCTCCTGTTCAGGACACAACACTTATTTTCTTTAGCAAAACAAACATTTAAAAAAATGTTTTACATGGTTGAAGGGTTAAAAATACATCCTGGTCTCTTTTGTTTCATAGACAGGAAAAACTGAACTCTTTAACACAATATTCACTTAGCAGAATGAATGTGCTCATGCACAGATTAAGAGATACTGACCATTTTAAAAAGCACAGAGGTAGTTTTAAAATTCAAAGTCACTAGAAGCAACTTTTGAACCTTGCTACGTGTCCATATAAACATTTAAGTCTCAGCCATTCTTAAAATATGTTTTCTGGAGGTGCTTTTCGAGTGTTCTCATTCATGTGCCTGTTGCTGAGTTTTGAAGGACTTACAGACCACTAGGGCACTGCAATGCAGTGCAGTAACACTGATTACAGCCTTTCAACTAATGAGTTGTTCATACAGACAACAACTGAAGCTTTGTCATGTAGATGTATTTACAGAATGGGGAAAAACATGTCTTTCAATGAAATGTGTCATGTGTAGAATGATTTTCTGAATAAGGTAGGAGCAGAGTGTTGTGTCAAACCTACCGCACACCTCCACAAAACGGACATGCCACCAGTGCCGTACAATGCCCTCCTACACCCTACCTGAGACCCAGATTCTATTAAAATCTTCACATGCTAAAATGTTAGATGGGGAAGCTAATGTGCATACCAGGGGTTGTAGAAATGTGAAATGACACTTCATACACATATGAACCTTCAACACTGGACGTTGACCATTGTGACTGGTCATTCAAAAGTGCTTTATCAAACTATCCACACACCATACCATATATTATATAACTATTATATTCTAGCTCTATTGGACATACATCTGTAGAAGGAGCCAAGTGTGCTGCAAAAACTGATCTTATGCAGTCTTCTGTTGCTGGTGAGATGATTTAATAAAGATTCAAATACGCTTTGTTGAATGATATTTGTCTTCTCTTCCATCTCACTATTGTTTACTGGCTGATGATATAGTAACAGCCAAGCTTTTTGTTTTTTTTTTAAACTTACCGAACTGCAGTACAAAGAGATCATATACTCCTAAAGCTCTATGTTGGTTGACAGTGGTGTCACTATGTCTATTTTAGAGGGGGTGAAGCCTCCCCTAAATGTTCTCAAGTCCCCCTGATTAGTTTGGTGTTTTTTAATCAAATAAATAATCATATGTCCTGTTATTATTAACCCAACTATGATCATATATCTCAGTTTTCCCTTACTTCCTAATGTGAGGAAGAGAGCCCCATCAGTTAGTTCATTTCACTTATTCATATAGAGTTGGCCCTCTTCATTTAAAATCCCCTCTACGTTTTCCTGCCACCTTGCTTGCAGTCCAGCTCACAACCCAGTCGACTGCAGCGGCAAGAATATTCAAAGAGAAGGACTTGATAAGAGACAATGAGGATATATAAATGTTTTTAAGATGGCAAGTATTAATTATCAGTGCTGATAGTCAAAATTAGTTACCTGCATTCAGTAAAGCTTTAAGTCTTGTAATAAATAACCCATGTTGTCAATGTTTAACGAAGAAGACATGGGCATACACTACTATGAGAGAGTTGTGTTCCAGCTCTATAGAACTTAGATACTGTTTTTTCTTAAATCATTATGAAGGTTGTCTCAGTTTTTTAAAGAGCTAGAGTGTGTAGTGTTTTTACTGTCTTTGGGTGGACTTTCTTCTGAAGTATCAGTTATTTCTCATTTTGGATGGTTGGATGGACCATGAAAACAGGAGATCATTCACATCAGAGTATTTTTAAATGGATGATAATGACAGTAGTAATGATAATTTACAAATAATCTGGATATATTAACGTTGCTTAAAGCCAAACGTCGCAGTTATTAACAAAGAATAATAAAGTAATTCATAAAGAAAACAATAAATTTACCTCAAGTAGCCCTTTGTGTCACTCTGTGCCTCTGCCTTATGCAGCGCACAAGGTAATAGAGCTTAAAGACCCCTGGTCCAGAGTTCACAGTACAGAGGAATTTGTGATAAAGATAGTCTTGGAATTTTATGAAACTTCATATGAATATGAAATATTAAGCATGTTGTCAAAGGGCACCATATTATATTTATAAACCATGAGCTTCTCTTTAGGGAAAAAAAAATGGAGATAACCAAGAGATAAAATGTCAAAATATGTTTGGCCTTTTCTTGATTTTCTGTTTTTTTCCATTTTCGTCAGTGCTAAATGTTTCAAAACACCAAACTAAATAAAACATTAGTCAAAGACAACAGCAGTAAACATAAAACTTTGTTTTTCAATTATTGTGTTTTTGTTAAGGGAGAAAATAAACTTGGTTTATCTCAACCCATTTTAAACTGTTATTTCAGTTTATTTCAAACCATTTTATGTATAAGCCAAATTAACCGAAATCAAATATTCTTAAAGTGGCTAATTATTGTTCTAATTCAAGTTACTTAATAGCACCTTTCAGGGCTTAATGATACCACTTGGTTCCCAAATGTAATCCGTGTAACTTAAAAATATTTTGAAGAAAATAATTAGTATGGTGTTGGTGGAAGTCATGTCATTATCCTTTATGTTAATTAGTTAGTAATCTAATTTATAGAGTTTCAAAATATTGTGAAGGGACTGGCCAAAAGAGATGCTGATGATCAAACAGATCAACATGAATACTTTGTGTTTGTTGGTTTGCTCTACTGATAAGCTTATGGAGGGCCTGCAACTACCTGGGGCGCCATCTGCTGGACAGGGTGCAGAATAGCAGAATGCAAAAAAAAAGTAACGTATGCATAGGTATATGTATTATAAAACCATAGATTCCCTTTGCTGCTAGGAGGTCCAGATGAGCTAAGTGTTGGAAGTGTGAACTCCTCTTCTATCAATTTATATTTAAATCGATAACACTTAAATCTTCTAAAAAATATGTAACATAAGAAATACATTTAACTTAGATTATTATTTTTTTTTTGTTTGGTTTGATTGTCAAAACATGACCTGCCTGTGTGGCTTGAAGTTATATTGTAAATTGCGTATCTTTTATATTTTAGATCATATTTTATATTTTGTTTTGTGTTTGGAGAAAGGGCCACATATTAAAATCTTTGTCTTCTTTGTGCTTCTTTTTCACTCATGTAAACAACATACAATGTGAAGCGTTTCATGAAACAATGTTAAAAAAAGCAAATGACATGACTGAAAAAGATTAATTAAATTTAGTTTTAGGGACAGTTGGGTGTTCTTTTTTCCTTGAGGTGAGATCTGTGTGCTCCTCAATTGTTTAAGATTACTTGTTTTTGTTTTTAAGTGTTATTTATAACAATGTTGACTGAAATGGAAGGTAGAAATTTCTTTACAATAACACTTTGATCATTTTAAGTTTTCCTTTTGAGTGCTCAGCTTTATGCTGGTTTTAAATTCGTACTTCATCTGCATTACATGTGAAAAAAATTTGGTTATTGTAGTATTCTCAAGAAACTTATATCTGAAGTTTAATTTTTACCCTTTAGAGTGTTGACTTTCAAAGTTTTCTTAACCATGATAGGACATTTTGAGTTGTTAGTTATAACAATATTCTCAGGTTGCTCATCTTTCAAAATAACACATATCCTTTTTGGCTGTTTATATTTGAGTTTAATTATACAATTTTTTGTTTTAGATTTTGCATCCATCACATTTGCAAACAATTTCCCTTAAACTTAGATTTACTCTTTAGGTTATTGGCTTTAAAAAGTGTTTGCGTGATCCATAAAATTGAGTAATTATGGAATCACTGTGGAGTTGCTTTTCAGGAAGAATGCAAGCTTAGCACTGGACCCTCTCGCCTTGGGCACCAAAGAACCTAGAGCCGGCCCTGGTCTTATTGTTGCTTAAAACATTTACACAGTAAATCATTTCTGTTAAATCTGTTCTGGAAAAGAAACGTCACCATTTTTGTTAGCTGTTTGAAAAAGAATTGCCATTGTCATAAAACCTAGTGACACCTTTTCATATATGTAAACATGTTTGAATGATCCCTTTACAAAATAAATAAGGTTAAAATTAAGTCCAAGCAAAGCCACCAATTAATCTTCTATGCATGTAGAGTAGAGGAGAAGAAATTGAGCAAAATTATATTTCTAACACACACCAAAGATACATGATTCATATATAACAGAAAAAAAATTCACATGTAACAGAAAGAAAAAAAAACACTGACTCTCATACCTTGCCCTTTTTTTTGCAAAAAGGGGGTGCATAGCAGCTGAAATTAATGTAGGTGTAAATAAAATAACCATAATGTTAAGACTCATAGGTGCACATCAATAAATGCATTTGCAAATGCCACAAAATGATGCATTGAACATACAACTCCAATCTTAAATTGCTTATTTTCATTTCACACAGTAATTACGTGTGATGCTGAACTTTTCTCAGAATCTGGTGAAAAGCCGAGAGAAGATAAGGGCAAAGCGCTAGAGGGTAAAATTATGTTGTAATTGTGTCAAATTGAAATAAATTGATGTTCAAACTAGAACGAAAGCCGTGTTACATCTTAAGAGACGGATATGAGTGATGTTATTAGAAACCCTTGCTCTATAAGGACGCAAATTCATGTAATTTTAAGCTGCTGCTCTGCGCTCTGTGCCTCCTATACTCTGCATCACCAGACGCGCAGCTGAGACTGATCAAAGAAACTGACACTCTTTAAGAATTCATCAGTATGTGTAGAAAGTTTACTCGCCTTTTGGTTATACTTTTAATTTTATAACTGAAGTGTTTAAAGTGTGCCTTTGCGCGTCCTAACATGACTTACGCATGAATGGAGTGCGGGATCAAGCAGGTATTTTCACTTACCAAGCGAGTTTCCGATCAGTGAGACAAAGAAAACAACTATGTAAGCCACTATTAGAACCCACTCGTACTCCTTAGGGTGTAAATATTCTGTCCAGATGTATCTCAGAAGTTCCTCGTCCTCATCCATGGTGGAGTGCACGCGCGTCCTGGTGCCGTTACTCCCGTGGTTGGGATAGTTACACTCGTCACAATCCAAGTTCTCCGTGATTCCGGACATCCTTGAAACGATCTAAGCAATAAAATGCGGCGAAAATATCATACGTCTGCACTGGTCGCTGTCTAAGGTGCTGACTGGCAACGAGGACGCGACTCAGCCAATCTAGTCAGGATGACGAGGGTGAATCCGCCTGATTCTCTATACATTTCAGATCCACACAAACCATTTAGGTAGCAGAATCTGGAAAGCTTTAAATAATATAGGAAAACAGCGGAAAAATGTAAAGAGGTCATTACATGCGTGTTTAATTACATATTTTTTTTTTAATATATGATAACAAAATGAAGCCGAACAGGATGAGGCCAATTTATTTCAAAAGCGTCAAAAATTACAATGTTAATATCAAAACCAAATGAACGATGTACAAAGCGAGAAACGTTTACATTAATTCAGTTCCATTTATCAGAATCAGAATTATATAGGGCCAATTCACAACACATGTAATCACAGGGCACTATAAAAAGACAATTTAACCAGATCATATAAAAAAAATATTTTATAGTGAAAACCAACTGATTGCATCTACTCACTGACTTGACAGCAATCTCCCACACAAAGAATGCATGCAGCGACAGCGGAAAGAAAAAACTCCTTTCTGCAGGAAGAATCCTGCAGCTAAATATATATATATATATA